GAATCTGATGTCAAGAAAGGGAAGACAGACTTACAAATCATTTGATTAAGAAGAAGAAATAAGTAGGTCTGTCAAATTATTTTAAAAATTTGATTGCGATTAGTTGTGTGATTAAAAAACAGTTGCAATTAATCATGATTTTAATCACAGCTAAAAACTCAAAATTTTGTCAGAAAAACTCAAATTATGCAGAATGATGCAAGTATTTTGTATAGTTGGGGAGTGTGGTGCATGTGTGTGGGTGGAGGAATTTGTAAAGGTGTGGGGGGCTGTGGGTGTGTGTGCAGGGGGTTGGAGCCTGGAGTGGGGTGGGGTCCTGCACGTACTGGAAAGATGCGGAATACTGTGAGTTAGGAACGAGGGGCAACAGCATGGCTGGGGGAGGCTCTGACTTGGGAGTGAGGGGCAGACACACACAGCACTCAGTAGATAAGTCTGTGGAGGGAAGGGGCAGGGGAGCAGATTGAGGTTCCCATGGTGAAAGAGGGTAGGGGCAGGGAGCCAATGGGGGGGCAGAGGTGGGCTGCTCGCTGCAGGCTGGGGCTCTGTGCCCTGTTGCTGTTGCCCCAGAAGCCACACACTATCTGCGCATCCCCTGCCTGCCTAATCATCAGAGGCACAGCATGGCATCATGCAGCTCCCAGGGCAATGGCAGCAAGGCACAGAGCCCAGCCCGCAGCCCACCTCTACCCCACCTACAAATCCAGGGGCCATGTGACCCCTAGGAATGCATGCAGTAGTGGGGAGCTACACCCCTGGATGAGCCATCCGTCGCTCCGTCCCATTACCTGCCCAGGCCCCAGGACCCCATTCACTCCAGACCCTGCCCCACTCCCTCCTTCACTGTGGGGGCCTTGATCTGCCCCCCCACCACCTCTTTCCCCCACATTCCCCTTCCCTCCACAGACTTACCTGCAGGGTGCTGCTCTACATGCCACTGGGCTGCATTCCTGGCTGTGTATAGGCTGTGGCTGCTCTTATGTGTCTGTGTGCGTCCTCTCTTCCCCCCCACTGCAACCACCTGGAGCCCATGCCTGGCCTGTTCTACAGTTCCTCTGCACTGCCACCGCTGTCCCGCTCGGCAGCCTGGAAGTGGTGGTGATGCAGCGAAGCAGAGCCCTGGTGCAGGCTCCAAAACCACATGCACGATTAACTTGTTAAAAAAATTAATGCAAGAACCAATTAACACATTATTTGTGCACGTTAACTGTGATTAATTGACAGCCTTAGAAATAAGTTACATTATGTTTGTTTTATGTTAGGTTTGTGTTTATTTAGTTTTCATCGTTCCTAAAGGTGCACCGATACATCAGTCAGATACCAGATCGGCACCAATTATAAAGAAAATTGTCTATATCAGAAATCAGCCTGATATGGCTGATAATTTGGCCGATAAATGGCCCTTACATGCACGCAGCTCCAGCACAGCATGTAGGCAGTGAGGAGTGCAGCTTGGCAGCTTGGAGAGCTGCATGCAGCTGGTAAGTCCAGTGTGGTGGAAGGGAAGGGAAGGGGTGTGGCAGGGCAGATCAAGGTCCCTGTAGTGAAGGAGGAGTGGGGCTGGGGCTGGGGCTATGGCAAGTGCTGGCCAGCTGGGGTGGGGCAGGCATGGAACAAAGCTGCAGCTTATCCAGAGAGCGAGGGGGGTGGGGGGTGGCTCCCACCACTGTGCACCACTCACCCAGGAACTGCTTATATGGCTGCTTGTCCAGCATGTGTCCAGTGGCTCCCACCACTCATCCGGAAGGGCATGGGGGGGACACATGTGCCCCCGGATCTGCACAGGGCAGGGAGGGCTGGGACTGTGTCAAGCTCTTCTTGGAAGGGCAGGGCTGGGCTCAGGGTGGGCAGTGGCAGTGCTAGGACAGGAGGGTTGGGGGGACTGCAGCCACTGCAAAATTTCCGTAGCCCCTCTACCCTGCCCATCCCAACACGGCTGCTGCCCACCACAAGCCCACCCCCACCCTGCCAGGAAGAGCTTGGCACAGCCGCGGCCTCAGCCCACCCCACCCCACCCTGCTCCATGCAGATCCAGGGGCATATGCTCCCCCCTACATGCCCTCCCAGATGAGCGGGCAAGTGCTGGATGAGTCACTGAACAAGCTGCTCCTGGATGAGCAGTGGCAGGAGCTGCCCCCTCTTCCCCACACCCCCTGGATGAGCCATGGCTCCATCCCGCAGCCACCCTGCCCCAGCTGGGCAGCACTTGCCCTAGCCCCAGCCCCATTCCTTCCTCACTGCAGGGACCCTGATCTGCCCCCCATGCCCCTTTCCTTCCCCTCCCCCTCCCCTTCCACCACACCAAACTTACCAGCTGCATGCAGCTCTTCAAGCTGCCAGGCTGGTATCAGAAATCAGATTGGTATTAGCCAATATGCCTCCTTAAAAATCAGCTATTGGTATTGGCCCCAAAAATCTCTATCAGCGCACCCCTAATCATTAGCCTCCAATATCTTCACCTCTTGGGATAAATTGCCCAAATCCAACTTCTTTGTGGCCACACCAGGATCAAAATAAACCCTAAAGTGCCCATATCATAATGCCCATATCATAATACTAGCCTCTCTTTTTTATTTAAAGGAGAACCCAATCTTACCTTTGTGGATAAATAATCATTGTTTTTCTATTACTCTCGCTACCTGGACACACTAAGCTTATATTCTCCTCCAGTTTCCTATTCCCCCACCTACACATGTTAATTTGAGTCCTATTTTCCCCTTTATTGTCCCTCAGTCTCCTACCTTTTATGTTATCTCTCTCTGCCATGCCATTTTCCTTCAGGTCCCCTCAGTTTCTTTCTGCATCCCACCTTTCCCTGTATACCATCCCACACTTTGTCTAAACTAGTCTGAAAAGTGTCTGGTTGTAACACTTTTGGTAATGCATTCTCCATTACATGTTTTAAGAGTCTAATGTAGGCACAGTAATGTATTCTTTTAAAAAAGCTACATGGATAAAATAAAGGCCATGGAGAGAAAACTCAGACTTACTCAACCCAGAGGTTGAGCCAATATGCAGCACATGTGCCAAAAGTAGAACAGGCAGCTTCTGTATCTGGCATGCAACAGATCAAGAAGGAGATCAAGAAGGTGACACATCAGCAGGTTGAGCAGAAAACAGAAAGCAGAGCAGCAGATTGGGCAGACTACAGGGCAGGAAGCAAAAAGCAGAGCAATGGATTGGGCAGGGGAAGGGGATCAGAGTGGCACTTTGGGAGGTGTAATTTGTGGCATGCCTGCCAAAAAAGTCGCGCCCCACTGACTTAGCCAGTTCAATTTATGTTGAAAACATGCTGCCTTGTCTACACTAAACTCTGAAAACTTGTTGGGTAATATGGAGTTGCTAAGATGTTCAACAATACACTTTTCATTCAGGCCTAGACAAAGCCTCCAGTGACCTTCTGCACTAAATATTTTCCCCATGCTACATGGTTCTTTGCACCAAGTCCCTCTGCCTCTTTTCTGTTTTCCATATTTCCCTGCATGCTTTCCATCTCCCTCTTGCTCTTCCTCCATCTTCTCACAGTTCCCTTACCATTTCCTAACCAGTTTCCCATCCTGACTTCCCTCAAAGCCTCATTTCTGGCACTTCCAGTCTTTACGGTTCTTCATGGACCTCCCAAAGGGGTCACCTAAAACAACCTGACTTCAGCCCTTTGTACCCACTGGAAACAATGGGATCCTAGTTATTCTCTGCAAAGGAGATATGATGGTTATGTTGCTGAGAGAGCATCCTCTGACTTCAGTGTCCTATTGACAATGATGAGAGAGAGTGGTAGGTATCTGAGTGGCTGACCCATTCCAGGAGCTCTGGAAAACTTGGCTTAAAAGCATTTAAAAAAAAATCAATCACTTTTCAAGGACAAGTCACTTCATTTTTGCTTGGAACTGGTGCTACATTCACTTAGAGAAAATAACTGTGGTTGGAGAGCCTGAAGGGACTAGATGAAACCATACAATTGTTTGCATAGAGATTTGGTTCCCTAAACAATTGACAGGCCAGTCAACTGTCAAATCAGAAAAATCATATTCCCGGCCAAAAACAGAATAGCTCAGACCTATAAATGGCATAAATTAGCATAGGCCTAATGAAATCAAGAGACCTACACCAATTCCCACCCCAGATATGATCCTCTATGAGAAACATGGAATAGAAGGCTCCAAAACTTAAAGCATAATAGTCTGCTAAAAAAACTCCAGCAAAATCACAAAAATGTCCCCATCAGAATATTCTGTGGTTAACGACTGCTTTGAATAATTTCCTGCACAAAAAAAGAGGCATCTTTAAAGATATGCAGCAAATACCGGAAATGTTGCCTGGAAGCTTTTTTTTTTTTTTTACTGAAACATGCATGTTTTTAGCTTTTTTGATTTTCTATTAGATGGTGCTTCTTGAGGAAAATACATTGCATATTTTTCTCTTAATCTCTTTAGAAATCACTTTGCAATGGAAACAATCATTATAAAAGCCATTGATGTGAAAAGCTAGTCCCATTATTAGACTCTTGTCTCTGTGATATAACAGATATTGATTATACAAGTTATTTACATCCTGAAGCTGTTCTGACATCATTGAAAAGAACAGAACTACTCTGGACCATTAGCAGTCTCTCTGACCAAAGGGAGAAAAACAACCAAATATGGCAAGACTATAAGTAATATTGCATACTCTTGAACACATAAAATAAATGTTGTATCCCACTAGATTTCATCCAGCTGCAAGACTTGGATATCAAGAAAGAATTCTGCTGATTAACATATTTTATGTATGCTAACAGAATGTTTGCTACTGTAAGATAACTGCAGCCCTGAAGAGTTTTATCTCCAATATATTTTTTTATCTAAAATACAAAGCTACTATTTTCAGCATATTGTATCTCAATGTAAAAATTGAAAAAAAAACCCTAAAAAACTATTAAACAAAAAAAAGTACTGCTTAAAAAGATGTAATTTGCAAAAATTAGCCACCAGCTTATTATGAAATAGCTAAAAAGCACTTACCTCTTCTTGCTTGGGAATGCTAAATTTTGCAATCTTAGACTTGGTTCTAGTTGAGTCAGGTTTATTAGAAGGAACTCCCTTATATGATGTACAGTGCTTGTTAGTTTCTGCAGATAATTTTAGCTTTGGGGACTCATCAGGAGCCTGATCTTGTCCATCCATTGGCCTTACATAAGCTGTTGGTTTCTGCTGCACTATAGTGGGCTTTGAAGCAAGTGAAGGAGGAAAGTTTTGAACGCAATGCCCAGTGGTATGTTTTGTTGGCCTTTCTTGAACATGAGGTCCAACTTCTGCATTGCAACTTATTTTTGACTGCTGCTGCACTCTGCTGACACTGTCTCCAAGCGTGGATCTTAAAGTACCTGGTTGTGTAGCATTGGAGGCAGAGGATGTTGGACTTGATGCATAGTGTTTTAGCTTTTCTAGACTGGATTTTTGGTTAGTCATTTTGAAGTCACTGTTGTGTGACTCAAGTAATCTGTGTCCATGCTTGCTTGTCCTCTGCTGGCCATCAGAAGCATTTTGCCCAACTTTTTGCCAACCCATTGTGGTGCTCTTGTTCTGTCCACATAAAGCTGCTGGTATGGAGGATGAAGTGCTGATGGAAGGCTGGGACTGTGGTCTTGAGTCTGCAATGAAATGTTCATCTGCTTTAGCTACGGATGCCTGTGGGATCCCTGGTTTTGGAACCCCAACAAGGTGGCTCTGGTTGGATCGATCAGTCAGTAAATCTTTCATTTCATCATAGTTGCCTAATGTATTCTGGATGCGATTTGAGAGCTCATCCCCCTTGTTAGTCTGCAAAACAAAAACATGAAATATTCTGTAACAATTAAATCAAGATAAAACAATACATGCTACAGCAGAAATCCTTACTGAAGCAGCACTGTCTCATTCAGCAACACAGTTGAGGGATGAAATCGAAAATCTGTATTGTCTCCAAAGACACTTGTCAACATCTTAAATCTACCCTGAACTGGAAAAGCTATAAAGGGTCTTAGAGTATATAAAAAAGAAATCTATCACTGGTATTGCACTATAGTTAAAATATATTACCTGGAAACTAGAAAATGTATTATTGCAACTACACAGAATGGTTTGGATTAAATCTGACCATGATACACTTCCTATGTAGCCCACTGTAAACTTCTCTTTCAAGGAAGGCTGAAGGAAAATACACCATTCTTAATGTCCTCCTGTACATTATCCATACACAACTGCACTCTGCAGCATGGGAAGGCCATGCATAGCTAGACTAAGGACTGAATTCATCAGTCTAAATCTACTGCATTCTCTCAGTTGCCTCTGGTATTAACAAGACATCTAAAGACAGTGAGCTAATAAGACAAGGAAAAAATTACTTGCCTGTTATTCTGAATCTCTGAAAATATCATTTGATATAATTCTCACCCCTGGCTCTCAGTTCTTGGCAAAAAAGGGGGGCAAAAAAAGCAAAGTAGAACTTCCAAGTTCTCGAAATATTAGGTCCCTAATAGGAGTAAAATTGAGACAAAACAGAAGTTTCCCTTTCTTCCCTCTGACTCTAGCCACTGAATTTAAACTCAGCCATTTATGCCCCAACTAAGAAGGCAAAATTCCCACCCCCCCAAAAAAAAAATCAGTAA